CCTACCAAAAAGTATTTGTTCACAAAAACTGGTTTTAACAACATAAGGGGTTATAGACAGAAAATTTAAAAACTTATGGATCAGACTCTGAAGTAAAAACATTTATTTTACCAAATAACCTTGAACAGCTACAAACAGTGGTTTATTTAGAACATGAGTAGTGCCCTCCTTAACCCATTAATTTTAAAACACATGCAATACTCTGAAAGGAGGAGACTTTAGGGCACCATTTTGACTAACCAGCTGCAGAGATGGACAACCATTAGAAGTGGCTGCACTTTGTGCACAGTGTCTTTTGGAACTACATAAACTTTTAAAAAGTTTCTTAATTTAAATCTCCAAAGTTCTACATTGAAAACGAATTTTTCAGGATAATTACTAAATTAAAAGTACACACCAAGAGACACATTTGAGCTAAGCATTCAAGGAAAGCTGAATGCATGTCCCTTTAGATTCCTGTATTGGCTTGTACTGTTGCAGAATACTGTAGTTATTAATTTTTAAACATTACTGGATAGGATTGGTAAGTCTCTAAAAAGGATTTTAATACATTTACACCTCTCCTGTTTACCTAGAAAAAGTAGGTTAACTTCACCAACAACAGACCATAGTATTTGTTTCCTCAGGTGCTTTAATTTTAGAAAATCTTGAAAAAAATCAAACTGTATAATCTATGGAATCAGACCAATACATAATAAAGAAGATTATCTTAAATCTTAGAACAAGGAAGCTTTGAAAGTTACTTTGTATTTTTATTTTTAAAAAAAACACTTCTTCACTGTAAGAATTCTGTTTTCTACAAAAGAGTAAGTTTGTAAAAAAATAATCCTAAACAACATTCTTTTCTGCTATTATTATCTCCATCTGGATTATACCTTAAAATTAAATCCAGTTTAGAAGAGTATCAAATTCTGAGAGAACACCCTTTCCTCTTTCTCCACCCTAAATCCTGAATTTTGTACTATGCTTGGATACACCAATTTTACTTTGTAACACACAGGTGTAAGTCAAGAAAGATACTTCACAACACTGCTTCTTTCACACTGTTACTATCAGTGTCTATACCTATTTTCAGCATTAAAACATTAATGATTAAAAAGCTCCAAATTAGGTAAAAATGTAGAGGCATGTTAAGCACTTCACACTGATGGTAACAGAAACAGCATTTGAAGAGTTCTCAGTACCATTAACTAGTTTATTTAAGTTAGTTCTGCACATCTAGTACCATCTGTCTCTCTAGCCTGGTACATTAAAACGACCAACATATGGTGAACTGCTATTAATTTATCAAATTTCTATGCATTCCAGGGTAATGTTACTTCAGTCAATAAAAATAATAGATCAGTTTAAGAAATATTCAGAAAGGAACTTTAAAGTCTGAATTCTTACTAACTATAAAAAAGATCTCTACACCATAAAAGGCAGTTTTGGAAAAACATTCAATATCATTCCTTTATACAAAATGATTAATTTTTCTTCCTTAATGACCCTTTTTCTAACTTAAGAGCAGTTAGTGTGATTTAATTTTCACAACTGTGAGTCACTGGAAAACTTGGAGATTTCTGCCCAAATCTTTAACCACAAGGCTATCCTAGGCAACAAGTTTCTTTGGTCACCCTTGCAGAAAGGGTACAGATCATTTGCAAGCACATGCTATTCAACAGAGAGGGCTATCACAACTCCTGCTCAACTTGCACAGCTTCACAGCAAACATGGGCTGCAATAGCCCCCATCCAAGCCCAGCAGCCCATCTCCCCTCTCAAGAAGCGCATACCTGTACTCAGTTTTCAATCTAGAACTAAGTACAAAGGCTCCAAAACCAAAGCAAGTGTAAAGGCAACATTGCAACTCCTCATAAAGGTATCAAATTGCCCTGTTAAGAGGCGATGCTAATTTTTTAAAATAGGACATTCAGAAATAAAATTAAAATACATAGGAGATAATAGAGACAAGCAGAGCATTTCGCATCATCGCAGTTAAACATTTACAAGTTAAAAATGAAGAAAAAAAACAGTATCAGCCAGAACCCATGCTAAAAGCATGCATGCATACACACATGCACACATATACATGACACCAGACCCCAGTTAGAATGACTTTTCTTTCTTTAAATAAAGCCAGAGGCAATTCTTCCAAGTCATGTTTTAACTACACACCTAAGGTGTACTTGTAAAGAGCCCCTTCTTTGGCCAATTAAAACCTACAGTTATTTTTCAGTATTTTGAAAACCTTTGGGAATGGTTTAGGAGATTTAAGCATAGAATAAGCTTTTGAACAAACTCAAGTGTTCCCAACAAAACTGAATGTATTCAAAGTAAAAATAATGCACTTCACAACTTTCACAAAATGTCTGTGAAATTGCCCTACACACAGGGAATTCATCCCCTCCCACAGAATTCGCAGCTAGCAGAACAGCACTAGATCTTAATATTATACAACCTGAGACTATTTCATTTCTGCAGCATACAATCCAAAAAACACTCTCCAAAACACAGCATTTTAATTGACACACCAAGAAAACTCCCCTGAAGACCTGCTACACACAAAAGAATTGCTTTGATCCCAACGATTCTGCACGTTTCCCACTGCTATCCTTCCCTAATTTATCAGACTAGGGCCGATTTGATACCTTTCCATTAAAAAAAAAAACAACGAAGCACCCCTCTGCTAGAGGCAGAGGTGCTGCAGAGGTGATGATAACCCCAGGAAAAGAGAAGCTGTCTCTTTAAAATGCCCTGCTATGTCCCTGATCCCACGTGGAACCAACATCAGCAGCACTTTCGCATTAACTTCAATGTGAGGCGAGATGAGGCATCATTATTTCATATAAATAAAACGAGGAGGCTGCAGAATGCATTCTTTGTAGGGGACAAACAGGTGAACTGAACGTGCCAGGGAAATCAGCAACCACCCGCAGGAGAGGTGCCCTGCCCCCGAGCCCTCTCTGCTCTCCCTATGGAGCATTAGCTCAAGCCCACACCACTCTCAAGAATCCAGTTCAAATAGAGGAGTGAGCCACCAAGAAAACTTGAAATTCAAAGGCAACGAAAATGCACTTTATAAACCGGAAAGGTTTATTCTTTGCCTCACACATCCTAATTAGATCAGGAAAGTGACACTACAAAAGCATAACATTCCGGTCCGAAAAAAAAAAAAAAAAAAAAAAAAGGAAAGAAAAAGACAGAGGAAAAGAAAAGAGCCCCCATCTCCCCAAATCCCCCAAAAACACACACACAAAAAAAGCATTAAAAAAGGAAGTTATAAAGCACCACATCCAGCATTTATCTTATCTAGGATCACTCCACATTACCCCCAAGTTATACACTTTCTGCACCATCATCTCCCCCTACCTCTCTGTCCTGAAAGGGATTTTCACGTTTTCTCATTGTCGGTGGCGAGTTATAAGAGGCTTTTGCCTTTCCAAAGAATTCATCAACAAAAAAAAATAATAAATATTAACTCCTTGCTCCCTGAAACCTTAAAACGGTCTCGGGAAGACGCGGGTTTTATACTGTTACCTTGAGGAAGAAAAGGGGGAGCAGCCCCGATTTTTAGGTATTTTTTGGCATTTTTTTCTGATTTTTATTTTGTTATATGCCTCAGTTCTCCCTCCATTTTGGTTGTTTATGATACTGACAACAAGCTGTCCCTGCTCTCTCTCTCTCTCTCTCCGGATCTCTCCTGCTTTCAGTTAGCAAACCCCCCTCCCCAATGCAACACGACTCAGCACTTACTTGGGTTCACACTTTTCTCTAAACACACACCGATGGGGAAGGGAAAAGCTCCTGGGCTACTCGGAGGGGGAGAGCAGGCAAATTCGTTTCTTTATTACGAAAAAAAAAACTTTTGTCCAAAAAACGACGGGAAAGGGGGGTCGAGTGCCCCAAAGTCACTCCGGATCCCCCCAAAGACGCAGCCGCCAGGTCCGGGGGACACCCCACGGATAGCCGGGTCCACGGGGGAAATTTCTGTGCGAAATTTGTCCGGTTTGAGGCGGCGGGCGAATTTATATTAATTTTTTCCCTCATTTTTCGGCACCGCGGTCTCTAATGTCTTCCGCTCCCTCTCTCGCCGCTCTCGCCGCTGTCACTGCATTCACAGCACAGGCTCCGGAGAGGCGAGGAGGGGAGGGGGCGGCCGCGCCGCTCCTGCCCCTGCCCCGCGGCCCCGAGCCCGGGCCGCCGCGGGGGTCGGCGGCGGGCACCCCGCGCCCTCCTGCCGTCCCCCGGGCAGCCCCGCCGCCTCGCCCGCTCCTCGCGAACCAGCAGAGCGCCGCGGGGAGGGAGGGGAGGAGTGGAGGAAACTCCTGAGAGAGGTTTTTCTCAAAATCATCTCTTTCTCCCTCCGAAGGGGGGTGGGGGGGGGCACCGCTCGCCTCGGCTCCCCTCCTCTGCTTTTCCCCCCGGGGGGGTCCGACGCGGGGCGGCGGGGGGCTGCGGGAGATGGGGGAGAGGGATGGAAGGGAGGGATGGTTAACACAAACTTTTCCTCACTGCTCGCTGCTCCTCTCTCCTCTCCCCCCTCCTTCTCCTCCTCCCCCTTCATAATTTAAATAACCCTGATATTTCCCTGCTAAACCCCGGCGCCTGCCCCCCAAACCCGCAGCAGACTCACCGCGGGAGCCTCAGCATCCCCTCTGCGCCCCGTTTCCACCCTTTACAGTGTTCTCCGATTTTTCTGTAATTTTTTCCCCATATTTCGGGCTGGACGCGGCGGGCCTGGAAATTGTTTGCTTTCCCGTCTTTCCAGCAGCCATTGTAGTGTATGCGCTGCGGTGCAGCCCAGCCTGCCGCACACGCCGCGCCCACACCGCCCGCCGCCCACACGCACCGCGGGTTGGACGCCTCCCCCAGTCAGTCAGGGCCGCGGCCGCGCCCCGCCGCCGGCGCCTGCGGCCCGCGCCGCCCGCCCCGTTGGTGGAAGGAGGCGCCGCTCACGGCCGGGGCGGGCGCGGCGCCGCCGCCATTGGCGGCCCGGCCGTGCCACTCAGAGCCGCCGGGGCGTGGGCGGCGGCGGCGCGGGGCCGGGGGGAGCCGCGGGGCCGGGAGCGGGGTAGGCTGCGCCCGTACTTAAGCGCGCTGCCCGAGCCGCTGACGTCTTTCGAATTGGAGACGGGCTGCCCCGCTCCCGCCCCGGGCTCCAGCGGACACGGCCGGGGACGGAGGTGAGTGCCGCCGGCGGCGACCCGCGCTGTGCCCGCCCGCCGCTTGCCCTTCCCGGCCGGCACAGAAAAGTCTCGCTCGACCTTCGCCGCCCGCGGGCCGGGGCAGCCCCGCTCGGGCCCGGCGGCGGCGCGGCCCGGGCACCGCTCCCTGGCGGCAGGTGGTGCCGAGGGGAGGCGGCGGGAGCGGCCGCGCCGAACGGGCCGGGGCGGGGGAAGGGGTCGCCGGGCGCCTCCGGCCGCTCCGCCGCCGGCGGGAGGCAGGGACCGGGCGGGGGGCGCCGGCCTCGCCTCCGCACCTGGACGGCTCCCGGCCTTCCCCGGGAAGCTGAGCTGGGCAAGGCGGCAGCTCCGCGGTGCTGAGCGTCAGGGACCGCCGGCTGCCTCCTCCTGCCTCCGCCGCCGTAACAGCCCAAAGTGCCATAGGAATTTTTGTACGGCCTTGGCTCCAGGGTTCAGGGTTTTAATGAGCTGGTCTACATTGCGGCATAATTAGCGAATTTGTGTCTATATGTGTGCATTTAAAGCAGACCAAAGACTTTTCAATGGGCGGGAGCCTGTAGCGAAGTGCCCTGATTGTTTATGAACTGAAAAAGCCCCAGGGTTACAGAGTGCCAGCAGCAGCCCTGGTTCTCTGTGGTACGGTTTACAGCTGTTAATGTGTTAAAGCATAATTAAGAGCTGTGGCATAGACAAGCCTTCGGTTGTGGTTGGGCTCTGACCTGTGATCTGAAAGCAGGAAGGGAAGCCCGTACATGTGCAGAACCTGGGAGGAGGGGGAAGCTCGCTTCCTGCCCAACTGCTCATTCAGTCACAGCCGCATTTCGGCGTGACCCGCCTGCCCTTCCAGCTGATAATGTTTCAAGTCTGAAGTACTTCGGAGAGGGAGAGAGAGCAACACGCACTGGAGCTATCAGACCTTTTGGGTTGTACTAAGAATGTTTAAGCATTTGCCTGCTCTGAGCTGTGAATCTTCATTAGAACCTGAACTGCTTATTCGTTAAGTAGGTGTTTAATGGGTTGTGTGCATTGTTCCTTAGAACGGGCGCGGTTGCAGACTCTGGTAATGTAATCAAACTGAAAGCATCAAGTGCAGTTTGTATAAGGAACACTGATTATGACGGCCCATCCTATGACTCCCAAGTATTCTTTCGGAGAGTAAGTCTGAAGTCGGAGGGAGAATATACACCTTGAGGCATGTCTGCTTAGGCGGCAATAGCAATGAAGTGCAGAGTTATAAACCAGACACATGCAAACAGCTAAAAATCTTGTATCTGTTGTGGTGAGTTAGGTGAGGCATTCTGGTATGCTGCTTTTGCTTCCTACTTCTCCCTTCTCTCCTCCTTTCTTAAGTCTGTGATGATGCTAGTGTATATGCTTGTGTTTCCATTTGAGTTGGAAGTGCCTGATCAAAAATGCACTTCCACCCATCACAAAGGAGAAAATTTGCCTGCATTGTTAAATTAACTTAAGCACTGGATAGTTCTCAAAAGGAAGTGAAAGTATTTCCCCAATGTTGTTAATTAAAAGGCCCACTTGCAGAAGATGATCATGTGGAAAGCAAAGAGTACTCCAGGTACCAGGAAGGTATACATGCACAGCTTGTAAAACCTAAGGCTTGTTAACTGGGAATAGTTTACTCTTACCCAAAGAAGAAAGCCCATCTAAAACATGGTTTTCTATGAGCTACAAAGAGCAGTATTTGAATTTTTTTCTAATCTGGTATCAAGCAAAACAGGCTTTTTCCTGCAGACTTGCACTTATCATTCCCTAATGTGCACAGAAACAGGTCTAAGTTAAGAATTAGCACCGATTTTTTTTTTTGAGAAAGTAAAAAACAATATTGTGTCCTTCATTAGCAGTACTTGAATTTGCTGTCTGTGTTTCTGATTGCATTGATTCAAGCAGTCATCTGGTCAACATTAATTTATTTTTTGTTAGATTCAGTATTTGTTTGGAACACATACCTGTATTGCCATATGTGTGCCGGAGGCAATGTATAGGGAGCTGTAAAGGGAAAGAGGGTCTGCTGTTCATCTTGATGTCATCATCTTGGATCAGTGTAGAGTCTTGGCACTGAACTCTGTGTCTCTCAAGCTTCAGAGTCAGTGTCAAACTACTAAATGGTAAGAAATGTGATTCAAGCGTTCATACACAGTGTAAGTGGGTCTGGTCCCACCTTGCGGTGAAACCAGTTCTTTTTCTATGAAATATTTGCTGTAGCAACACAGGAGATAGTGGGCACTTGTTGTACCTGGGAAAGCTCAGTGACGATGCAGATGTGATCCAGCTAAGGAGTAGGGACAAATCTGGAAAAGTTTGCTTGTACATTCCTCCCACACACTATTAATTGAAGTGTCTACAGTGTGTTGGCTGTGAACAGCTTCTATGGAGCTGTTTCTCGTACACGTGGTCACTTCCTCCATGAGACACAGGCTGGTGTGAGAGCTGCTGCAGTGGCTCCATTCTCTGCAGGAATTTATCAGGGAATGAGCAGTCTTTGTGGTGGGTTAAACTTGCCAGTGTTGTCTTGCTGTTACTGCTTTTGAAACAACACCTTGCAAAAGAAGGTTGGGTTTTGTTTAGTTTTTTCTTTAAGATAACAAAACTGTGTGTTGCTAGAAGGCCTTTATTAAATCCTGAAATTCAGACTTAATCCTGAGTTACTGTTAAAAGTAGATACTTAACCTGTTTATTTTTCCTTTCTAGCCAAGGTACGAGTGTCTTTCTAGAATGTCCAGGCATGCAAAAAAGCTTAGAGATCATGATATAAATCCATGTCTAGCGGTAAGATGATCAAATTGAGATTGATTTCTGTCTGTACATTTCAGTGTTAAATAATGCACTTTCTAGGGGACTGTTTTGTGGGTAGAACACTGGCATTCTAGCACTTTGCATTAAAAGTTTCTTAAGAGTCTGAAGGTGGGAAGGGCTGAAAATCTTCCATTATAATAAGTGTGAAATAACAAGTTAATTCCCTATAAATAGGAGTAATACAACTGCTGGCAGTCTCTTAAATTTTCTGTCCCTAAAACTAGGGCCTGAAATCCTGGTTAGACAAGCTTGGTTATTTTTAAAAGTCTTTTGTGAGTTATACCAAGCATCATTGTAAACAAATATTCTGTGGCCTCTGCACTTACTGTCTGAAGAGTACAGACAGTACTCTATTATCTCCAAATTAAATCACTGCTTGAAAGTGCTGATGATCCTGTGTAATAGGTGTTACTTTGCTCTCTTTGATAGTGTTCTTTCATCTGAAGAGCTCACTCCTATCTTCATAGATATTCTGGGACTTGTTAAAATATTTAAACACTGAGTACAGTAACTTCCCTCAGCTCTGAAGTATATTTTCCCCTATTAAAGGAAACAGATGCCACTACAAAATGTATGAATGACAACAACTATAACAAGGATATGTGTACTGATTACTTTTTGAAGTACAAAAACTGCAGAAAATTCTGGGTAAGCACAGTAAACTTTCTAAATTTTACTCCCTGCTTTGCTTTATATATGTTACTTCTGACATCCTGCTTTCTGAACCCTTCAAATTCAGCTAAGAATGTTTTTATGGTAACTTACCAGCCCAGTATGCATTGCTGTAAGACTTAAGCACATGCACATCAAAGTACTTCACTTGATTGTTCTGGGTTTACTCTTGTATATTGTGAGTCAGTGTTCTTGCAGTACCTGATGTTTTCCTTTGAACTTGAGTCACATATTTTTAGCAATAATTTCTTTTAAACTGATGCGGTGAAAAAATTCTGAGGCAAGGTAAGGTTATCTGGTTTCTCACCGCCTTGGATCATGTTTACTTTAACCTGATATAAAGCTTATTTGGTGGTAGAGAAATACCATGAGGATCTACGTGCAGTTAAACTGTTTTCTGCTGTTTCCTTATGCCATTGAAGTAAAGAGGTTTTAGCTTAGCCTTTAAATACTTGTGCAAACTACAAAAAAAACCTGTTTACAGACAATTGTGCATTGGTCTGGCATAGAGTAATGGGAATACCGATTGCACTCTATTCTGAAGCAGCAAGGTAAACTATCAGATATCTTGAACTAACTACTAGTACATTTAGTTATCAGCTAATCAGGCTTTTAGAGTACCTGAGTTAATATATAAAGCATTTTTCTATTAAAAATCTTGTTCATTCAGAGCTCAGGGAAATCTGTTCTCATGGTCACTTTGTTCTATTTTCAGCATGGCATTATGATGCAAAGGAAGAGAAGTGGTGTGAAACCAGAGATGCCCTCAGCAGAAGAAAGAAAGAAAATCTTGGAATCAATGGGGAAGCCCTACTGACTGGAAATCTGAATTGACTGTTGTCACAATACGTATGAAGACTTGGCAGCAGCAAGTTACCATTTCATGAACCGGATTTTACAGTTGCCATATGTTGGATTAAAATAAGATCCTAAATTTTGAAATGTGGGAGCTTTCTAGGATAGAATTTCCTGGGTTTGTTCCTACTTCCTGTCATAGGAACCTGGCCTCTCTTATTGGAAGATACGGGTCTCAATGCCACTTGTATAGAAACTTTTGGAAGTAGAAACTACCTTGCTGTGAAATGCTAAATATAAAATTAATGGGACTTGAAGAAAGCCTGTTTGAAAAGATGGGTTGGTGAGCATTGCAGTGTGATACTAAGACTGGAGCAGATTGAGAAACTGGTACATGCAACATGTTTCTTGCACTCAGCTGTTCTGCTCAATAGTATGGATTTACCATGTATGAATGATAAATCACTATTTTCACATGTTGCATTCTGTGTCCCCAGTTTAAATAAGACTTTTCATGAACTAAAATCCTAAGTCAAACAAGCTTGTCATTGGGTCTGCCACTGCACTTGTCAGGGACAGCAGAAGCTTGCAGTAAGTCAGATCTGCAAGCTGTGCTAGTTAAAAGGTTAGAGAGATGGGTGAAGATAAAACTGAACTCCTCAGGTCTGAGCTGCATAGTAATTTCTGTGGATAGTAAATAGATACTTTGGTGGCGGGCAGGCAGGGGGGACTTGCAGACATGTAAACAGATCCTCTGAGTGACATGGCAGGTTTAACTATAGCACATCTATCTAAGACTCTGGACAGCTGAAACCTGGGGTTTGGAAATGCTTACTCATATGAGATTACAAAGCTCAGTTTAAACAGGTACTCTAATCTTAAATAAGGTTGATTCTTTAGCTAAATTGAACAAGTAATAAATGTAAACATGTTGCTGTCTAGGTGAAATAGTGTTTTTTACCTTTTATCTTCTGGTGTCCTGGCTTAAAAGCTTGTATCCCGTGATAAAACAGAAAAACTACTGTCATGAGCTCAGATTCCATGTGAAATCCTTTAGTTCATACTGGGATCAACTTGGCAGAACTCTGACTGACCTCATGAAGGATAGTGTAAAAGTGTTGTCTCTCTATTTAGACTTTTTGGAAAGACTCCATGGCTTTCTGTTTCTCCTGTCTGGCTTGTGTTGTTTCTTTCCACTGTAGGCCTATTTCTTTGCTTGCTGTGATTTCCTTGTTGTTTGATCTGACTAGCAATTCCACAAAATCTGCTTTTGCTCTTCCTTTCTGCTCTCTGTTTACATCTGAGTTTTGAAATTGATTGATCCTACCCTCTCTGTTGGAATAAGTGTGTAACTCTGTGCCTTTTGAGTATGCAGTACTCCGAGCAAAGCTGTACAGCCTTCAAACATGTCACAAGTTTCTCTTGTCAGTTCCTGGCAAGGAAAATGTACTTTCTTCCATCAAGACCATAAGGTTCTTTATTTCAAATTACTTTCTCTTCACCTAAAGTGCAAACTTTGACATTTTCCTCTTTTTGTAGTTGGGGTTTTTTGTTCTTGTTGTCTTTGATTGGTTGTTTTTTGGTGGGAGTTTTTTGGGGGGTTTTTTGTTTTTGTTTTGGAGGTTATTATTATTGTTTGTTTTTGTTCCCCTGTGTGTGGAGCTGAATATACTTTCAACGGCTTGCTCTTTGCTGCCACATCCTTGCTATCTTTTAATACCCTCCTACATACCAATCTTTCCACTTTTTTTTTTGCCCATTTGACACCAGTTCTTTTTTGACTGATTTTAACATTTTGGTCTCTTCTCATTGCAGTTTTTTTTCTAGTACCTTTCTTTCATCTCTGATCTAATGGTATAGTCTTGCAGTGACTTTCTAATAGAGCTCCTTTTGAAGGTTGTGTGTTCTCTGTTCTCTTTAATAGTGAGAGAACTTGCTTTCATTAAACTTAGCCATAATACTTCCTCATTAACCATGCCTCTCTTTGGTCTTCTTGTTCATCTGCAGATTTTGGGGAGCTGTTGTTCTCTTCCTTAGGGCTGTGTCTCTTCAGACTCTTCTGCCTTTGCTGCCTTTCTGGCTTTTTGCCTCCCTTGGTGTGTCTAAGGGCACCTTCTCTCCTACTTGGCACAGGTTTGTCATTTGCCACCTCTGCTGTATCTTGGGACATGTTCTTTGGTCCTATGGCTTTAACTACTATTCTAGTGCTTGCTGTTTTTCTGTTGCTGTGCTCTTAAATTCTGGGCTTATATTAAAATCTACAGTATATTTTATGTGCAAGAAAAACATAATCTTATTCTTGAGGTGAGTATGCCCATTCTTCTTTGCATAAGCTCAAGTTCCTTAACATTATTTCATTTATCCCAGGATTTCCCTTCAGGTCTTCTTTGCATGTAGAAATACTTGTAAGTGTAGTATGTAGCAGTGCTTATAATGCACTTATAAGTTGTTGTTGTTGTTGGTTTTTTTTCCCTGACGATATTTGCTCAGGAAGTTTCCACTAATGTTGTTTTCTTTTAAAGGATAACTGGCCTATCTTTTGGCATTGTTAGGTGGCCTGTGCTGCTTTGTAAAGTGTTTGTAAAGAACTAGCACTGGTCTTCAAAAAATCAGCGAAGGAGATACGTTACTGTTTTCAGGTGTCAGTGCCAGAATGTGGGATCACAGAATGGGCTAAGGCAAATGGAATGCAGGAACAGCAGTCTAACATTACACTTCTGATGATCAGTGGATGTACATGGTAAGCTCCCTGTGCATGTTACAACAAAAATTAGTTTAGTGTAGAACTGAGAGCAATTTAAGCCGTGACCTTGTTGATTTAATTCAGGTAATTAGTAATCTGTTGTAGGGAATGTAATTTATTTCCATTGTATATTCCTTACTGTTAAATAACACAAGTTTATAAAAAATCTTGAGGGAGCAAGGCGTTTTCTTCCTCATGTCGTAATGTCTCTCAGGAGTGATCTGTTACTTGAGTATGAGTTTTTATTATTTTTATCCCTCACTTGAGGTTGCTGTTCTTGCTTTCACTGCTGAAGCTCGAGTGGTAAAGTGTGATAGCTTAAACATAGGCTCTTACGAGTTGAGATTTTTCCATTAATTTTTGTAGTGTGATTAACTACCTTTGGTTGTGAGCCAAAGATAATGGTCTTTTCCTCATACCTGAGAGCTTATATTCTACACTTCATGAAACAGAGGTAAGCTGCAGCCTGCCACTCTTAGTGACCAAAAAAAACCCAAAACCTGGGCTGCATTATTAATTTCCCTAAAGCACACTCTTGTATGTTAACCCAGAAAGTGTAACAAAGTGGATCAATATAATTCATTAAGGATCAGGGAAAGGGATCTGTGGGTTTGGTTTTGGTTTTGTTTTTTTTTTAAATACTTGTAATTACTCATTTTGCTTGATACAAGGACCAAATCTGCATAGTGGCATTCATGTTTGATAATTTTTTTGTTTGACAGCTGGATGGTGCTGTTGCACAACAGACTGAGAACAGAACACTCCACCCACTACTAGCTCTTTCAAGCTTTTTTGGTCTCTTCCCACAGAGGTAGCAGAATTCATCCAATAGAAAGGAAAGATTGATCCTGTCTCAACACTATAAACAGAAAAGAAGGACAGAAGTCTAAATCATTGCTGGGAAATAGGGGATTTCTGTGCAGCCTGAGAAGCCCTAGAATATGGTCCTTGGTAGATTTTTTTCAGTGTGGTTATTTGATCACAACTAGGCACTGAACAGCAACTGTAGGCTTTCTCCCAGGTCTAGGTGAATATCCTGGTTCCCATCTGTACATTTTTGCCTTCTCATTTTTTCTGTTACTCTACAGTGCAAGGCCTTGTCTGGCTCAGAGTTTTCTGCTACCACAATTGGGATGAGTCTGTGCTCTTGAAGATATTCAAAGGAAATTCACAGAATTGCAGAGTATCCTGATTTGGAAAGGACCCACAAGAATCATTGAATCCAAGTTATCTACCTCTAGAATCCTGAAAATTTCTTTGGTTTTAGCTGAAGCTTTTGAAAGGCAGGGAGTTGAATCTGCTGCTGCTCCAAGTCTCTTTCATGATCTTGTAATGAAACTTCTGCACTCAAGTGATGAAGAAAATGTGCATAGAGGAGCTTTTGGTAATACTTTTGCAGAACAGATAAGATGAATTTAGAGTTCAAAATGTTATGCTGTTCTAATAGATTTGGAGACAGCCCTTAACTCATGTTAAAAGTATCTACATCTTTAAAGTTGGTCTTCCAAAATAGCCATGAAATAATTATTGTGTGGAAAAACACCATTGCAGGTTTTTGTTTTCTTGGAAGAATCTCAGGCAACTGGAAGAAATAGTTCTGTAAGTATTAAAGTAGTAAAAAATAAAGCAAGCTGGCTATTTCAGAATATTTTAACTTTTATTGCAACCTGTTTGATATGAAGAAGAAAACAGAAGTACTGCATTTATATTAACTAAATGCAGTGGATCACTTCAACTTAATTGCTTTATGACATATGATACCATATGTAGTAACTCAAACCATCAAATTGTAAGTAATTTTTCTGTATTCTTTGCGTTTCTACCTTGATGAGTCCTATCTCAAAATCCTTTTTTGGAAGAATGGTTCTGAAGATCCTCAATCATTACTTGCTCTTACAAGTCCCACTACCCTTGAGATATGTGTTTACCTATTTTACTTCAATAAACTGCTGTGCACTGCAAACACTTCCTGATATCAAGTGACTGGCAGAACACAACAGAATTCTGCATAGAACAAAATTGAGCTAGTGTCTGTCAAAATAGAAAACAATTGTAACAAGGTCATGTGTAATGACAAAAAAAGATTATGCTCAAAATAGTATATTCAGTCAATACCTCATTTCTAGAAGTAATTCACATCTCTAAGACAAACTTGCACTCATAGAAATAGTGTAGGATGGTAGGGGCCATCAGCTCACACCTAACTTTGAAAAATCTAAAAATTTTTAATTGATGATAAAAGATTGCAGTTGTTTTAGCAAAAAAAGATTTTGCAGTGTTTTTGTGGAAATAGCCTGCTAGTAATATTTTCTAGCTGTGTCACACATGTATCTCAAATTTTTGTTTCCCTGAAATGTGGTTCCCTGAGCAGTCCTTGTCTGCAGAGTTGCCTGCAGCTGTTGAAGTTGTCAGCAAATGTGATTGCATATTACAAATAGGGTGGTATTTTCTCCTATTTTTATTGAATAGTGGAATTGAATGAAGTTGCTGCATTGAAATATGTCAGTCATACAGTTCTTGCTTCAATCTATAGGTTACAAAAGGATGGAATGAAGCTAACATGATAAATCCTTAGGTAGGGTGTACACTGTGAATTTACCATATCCTGCAATGTCAGTTTTGAGTAGTCTCTGCCTATATTTTTCCTGATGCTGTATGAATTCGAATGGATGTTACTGATAAGCCAAGAAATGCTGTGTTTTGGTATCTATCTATGTGACAGGTAAACTAATGTGGTTCTTAAAGGTGACAGTACAAGATGTTGGAGAAACCCCTTTGACTTTCAGATTGAAAATGAACAGGTCTTGAGGGTTCTGTATATGTTGACTGTTGTGTTTAGACATCAAAAGCCTATGGATGACGGAAACTTTGATCCTAGAAGTCTCTGGTGCTTCATGTTCTATCTTGCACTGTGGTGCTGCCAGTGCTGATGGACTGCTTGTTCCTACCTGGACACTACTGAGATTTATGGAAAAAATATTTTATCAGCCTTGAGGACTGACTGTGAAGTCTGCTAGGGTGTAGGTGAACAGAAGGAAATTTTTTGTCCATTGTTTGAATGGCCATCTTTACAGTCATTCCCTTCAGTAACTGCTGTTCCATGTCCCTTCTTCCTCCCTCCAGCAGGTGCCTCTGTGATCCCCAGCATCAGTGCTAACACAGGCCTCTACCCTGGGGCATGTATCCATCTGCCCGATAGACAGCAGAGGGAAAAGGGAATAAGCAGTGTTCTGCAGCCCAGCTGGACCTCTGAGCACCTCTCTTGTGTCCCTTCCCTGGCTGGAAGGGACAATGTAGGGTGTCTGAGTAAGCAGCAAAATACAGGAAGCAAACACTGAAGTCACAGCTGCTCTCACAAGTCAGAAGAGGCTTTCTGTGCTTGAAAAAAGGCTTAGCTGTTCAAAGCTGTGAGCACCCAGGGACTGTGCTTCTTAAACTCAGCTGTAAGACTGGGTCCAGCTGTTACCCTGGCATCACCCAGTCCACCATCAAACCCTGTCCCTGGGCACATCTACACATGCTTCCAATAGCTCCAGGAATGGTGACTCCACCACTCCTCTGGGCAGCCTCTTCGAGTGGTTCACAACCCTTTTGGTGAAGAAAATTTTCCAAGTCTCCAATCTAAAGCTTCCCCTGGCAAAACATGAGGCCTTTTCCTCTTGTTTGTTATTTGGGAGAAGAAACTCTCACCTCACTACAAGCTGCTTTCAGGTTGTTGCAGAGAGCAATGGTGTCCCCCACTGAGCATCCTTTTCTCCTGGCTAAACAACCCCAGTTCCATTAGCTGCTTCTCATAAAACTTGTGCTCTAGACCCTTCTTGAAGAATGCCTAGCCTACCTGGACTTGTTTTCCCCTCAGGACTGCTTCTGAAGCAGTGGTATCAACCAGGCTCCTAAACAGCCCAAAATCAGTCCAGTGTGGCAGTTCTGCTGGACACATCTCCCTCCTACCCCTCTACCTGCTCCCTTCCTGAGAATCAAAAACTCATTTCATGACTGTATGCTCCACATGGTTTCCAAGAGTCCTTTTCTGTTCACAAATAGGGTGTCCTCCCTAATTGGCTCCTTCATCAGGTCTGTTAGGAAGCTTTCTTCCACACTCCAGGAATGTCCTGGACTGTTTTCTCTCTGCTGTGCTTTATGAGGTGGCAAGCAGCTAGAAGTAGATAGAACCTAGGAGGCACCATGGTCTCCTAGCACCTTCAGCCAGGCAGTCTAAATAGTCTTTACAGCGTCCTCATCTATTTTGTCATAGATGTACTCACACTGCAATTGGGTGCTGCAAGCATATGTGCATGAGGAGCAGAAAACCACTGGAAAGGCTCACTGGTAGGTCTTTACTTACATCTGCATCAAAAGCAGCTTTCAGGTTTCTGTCCTTTAAAATTTAATGTTCAAAACCCTGACAATCAATTACAATAATAAATAACACTTCAGTTCTTTTAGTGTTGCTATGAGACAAGAAGAGTTCGTGAAATGCTTTGGTTTTCTGTAGTTTAGGAAAATTTCCAGCCAGGAGTTGGTAGAAAGCATCAGTATCTCTTTCTCCTCCAGTTTGGCAGCTGCAGGAAATCAGCCTGCCAGAAAAGCTGCTATAAAGCTGGATGTTAGCAAACAGGCAGCTGCTCCTTGCGTTGGGGAAATCTCGTTCTCTGACCCAAATGGGTACAGATCAGCCCAGTTCTGTACAGGTCTGCAAATGCAAGCTGCTCATTTTTCATTGTGGTGGTGAGGTCATTAGTTGCTGGTTATTGCTACCAATTGGCCTCTGTAAAGCCTCAAGAAGCTGACACTGTTTCTAAAATCAGAGCAATTTGCTGACTTAAAATATTGATTCATTTGATTAATTTGGTTTTGTTCATATCCTTTCTTGGGTCTAGAATTGCTGTTTACTTGTAGAAAATTATTCTTTGGGGAAGCTTTTCCTCATGATTTATTTCCAGTTCAGCTTTCACGTTGCTAGACTCTGCACCAACCCAAGAGAAAACACATTTGCTGTTCAGTAAGGGACTAATACCATTGATGAGATGTGCCTGACACAGGAGGTTCACAGATGTTCTTGCCCAAGCCTTTAGAAGGACAGTCAACATGTGACATTGCAGGAACATACTCAGCAAATCTCTAGGTAAGGAAATTGACTTAATAAACTTCTTTTCATCAAACTAGATGGAACCAAATCAGGTTCTTTGCTGAGAATTTTTTGTTTATTAGTGCAGTATAATTTGCTGCTTACCAAGCTCTGGTACAGGCAGTGTTTGTGAGGGGAAGGCACGGTGGTGTTGGGAGGTTTCCTGCTGGAAGAGGGCAGCTCTGCTGGGAGCACAGCGGTGCTTGCTGCAGAGATGATCCTCCTCTGCATCCTTAAGGAAGGGACACAACACATTGCTACACAACCCATCCCAAAAAAATCACTTGACATGAAAACCAAAGAAAGCTGAGCTGTTTGGTAGCCTGTTTGCTGCTTTTCATTTCATCAGTGATAAACATCAGAGAGAGGCTAAAGCAGGAAATTGTCAAAATAGCAGAAGGCATCCTAGGACTCTGCTTCTGGTCTCATAATTATTTCTGGGGTTTCTGACAAGAGGTACCATTCACTGTGCTACCTTCACATGCATAAACCCTTCTGTGGGTAGTGAATGTGTTGACATATGCAGAGTTCTTTCAAAAGTCCATATTCAATACAGATTTCAACATCTGGACAACAAGTTATCTCTCTGTATCCCCAAGCAGCACAGAAGTTGGCCATGTTTTATAATTAAGTGTGATTTCTCCAAAAAGAGATTATTGCAGGAAAATGAAATCCTTCTTCCATCAGAAGTTGCCTCCCTGTATCTTTTTCTCTGCTGGAAGATATGTGTGGTATTTGGGATATTTTTCTTCACAGAGGATCTTGGATTAAGGATCGTGTGCTTTGGATTTTGCCTAACAGGTGGCCTCACAGATAGTGTTGACTCCCACAGTATTTATCCAAATGACCTTAAAATGCCTTATTCAAAGAAACAAAATGAAGGTCATAGCCTTTCCCACCTCAACCCCCCATTCCAATAGCTGAAGTAGTGACATCTAATATTGGTTTGCCAGATTATTTCATATAATGTCACAAGAGACCCTACCTAACCAAACAGTAGTCAGCATATGCTGGATAATGTAACAAGTGTAGAAGTAATAAAGTGGTGAAACACAGGGCTTTTGGATGTCTTACTCTGAGAAAAGCCATGATAAGGACCTGCCTTCATAGTAAGGTATGAAACTGTCATTCTGGCAGTCTAGTAAGCTCTGTTTGACACTGGGAGTATGATACCTACTCAGCAACAGCAGGGCATAATAAAGAGTTCCTGTACTACAAATAAGGGTAATATAAACAATGTTTTCCTCATTTCTTAAACTATTTATGGTATTTATGCAGATCATATTACTAGTACCTTTTTTCCTCAGGTACTAAAAGTCCCTAATTCTTGAGAGAAAAAATAAAGGTGTTTGTTAGTAGCTTGGTGCTTCTCATGCATCTGCCTTGAATTTTTCCCTGCTATGGAGGACAGCTAAGATTTAATTAACTACAAGCAGAAAAAGAACTTCTAAATTCCTCATAAAGACCGTATTCTGCCAGCTGGGCCAAAAACAAAACAAAAAATATGCAAGTAATGGCAGCTAATGGCATTTCCAAATGGGCCTTCTCTAATCCTATTACCAAGATGGGTAGTTTGTACCTATACCAATAGTTTAATCCCACTCCTCATGTTCTTACACCTTCATCCAAGTTCCTCAAGGAGTTGCAACACATGGTAAATTCAAGTCCCTCCACCCATATGAAGAAGTTGGTGCAAAAAAAGAATATATAGGAGTATTTTGCCTCTACTCATGTTCCTTAGAAACAGCTTTTCTTGGGAAGCTGGAGCCTAGTTCTAGTCCAGTTTTCTTGTCCTGAGGTAAACCCAAACTTGCCTTTGAGAAGACAAGTGTGTTCACTTTTTTCACCTCTACCCTTGATGGCAGAAATTGTTTTCAACCCAGACTGCATGGTCAGTGGAAGTGCAGTAAATGCTCCTGTTCTGTGGAAATGACAGATCAAAGTGATTATTGGGACTTATTTTGACTGTAGCCAAGTGTTCTAAAGCATTACACAGTCTGTGAATTTGTTTTTTCTTCGCTGTTAATGAATAACCCCACTGTGTACCTTTATGTTGCAAAGTTTGGTGTTTCAATTGTTCATTGCAGAACGTGGAAAGCAACTAATAATTACTAGTTTGGGGTTTTTTTTAAGTGGTGCTCATGATTAGTAGACAAAACATTGTAAGGTGAGATAAATTGAAGGGCTGAGGGGTCTAACAGCTCACCATTGCTCCTTTTACCCCTTTACCTTGTCCCATTGCCTAGGAACAGCTCATCTTCAGCCTTCCACCAGTTTTTACACTTGCTGGGTTCTTCACTGGACTGCTCTCATTTGCTAACAAAGCAACTTAAAGGGGAGAGCTTCTTTGTGAGCCATGACTGGCCGTACATAATTTCACACTTAAACAAAGTGATCATGCAAGCACTAGGACCCATGAGCCTCAGGCACAAAGCAGCATCTGCTTACAGATAACCATTTGTGATTGCTGCCCTTCTGTTCAGCTGTGGACATTTGAGCCAAGTGACCTCCCATGTAAGCCTGGGTTACCACCAACCAAAGTGATGAGTCAAGACTGCAACAGCTCACATCCTCTGTGGCTCACCAGAGAGACCTCTAACACCAAAATACTCTAGCTGCATGTCAGTGACTTCAATTCCAATTTTCCCATCTAATTGTTTAACAACAAAAGCCTGCAAAAAAAAGAAGTCTGACTAACTAATCATGAGTATTGCTTCCTGTTTTCTGAAGCTAAACCCAGAACAACGGTTTGTGTAATGATGATGAACTGTTAAATAAAATTAAGTCTCCCTCCCTATGGACTTAATAATAAAAATTGTAAACAATGTTTGGCAAACAAAGCTGCAGGCCTATGGGCTGTCATTCCCAGATGGCATGAATTAGTGGAGAAAGGTTTGTTGTGCTTCCCTTCCCCAGCCGCCCACCCCTCCCTGGGTTTTGCATGTGCTAGCTTTGGACAGGGATGACTCAGCTGCTGGTGAATCACCTGCTGAAGTGCTGAAAGTGTTGGCTTGGCTGCAGTTCCTCAAGCAACAGTGAACTGTCAAGGCAGACTGGCAAGAGAATAATCCTCTGCAGCTGGGAGAATTTTTGTGCTTGCACATCTTGATTTGCTGCTAGCAGAGGTTGCACAGATACTACTGTAATTTCAGAAATGCCTATTGAAATCTTGCTTGCTAAAAAGCTTCCTTGTGCAACTGTTTATTCATGATAGGGATTTTCATAGGCATTGCTCAAAAGCTGTCTTCATGAGACAACTGGCTGGTGAATGGCTCATGTACAATGTAACTGGAGAAATGCTCCTAAGGGATGTTTCACTGTTTTCCTATTGGTGACCTGAAAAGTAAGAGAATATTCCAACCAGGGAGATTGTTCCAGAAAAATATATGAGGTCTAGTAAATCCTTCTGAAATCTTGCTACTTCAAATTACTGTTTTCTGGATTGGTGGTGATGTAGAAAGAAGGAAAACTAAAAAACACATGGAAAGCTGCCAGTATGTAGGTCCCTACATGTCCAAGCAGCTGCTTGGGAGAAAAACATGGAAAACTTATTGTCACTATGTGGCAAGTCCAAATGTCTTTTACAAGTGAGACTGTTTGAGAGATGATACAAACCAATGTTAATTTATTACAATAATTTTTAACTTATGCGAACAATCCGCCTTTTTGACTATTTTATTCAGTGTTGGTATCTTCTTCACCTTAATAGTCAAAGAATCGCAGAATCTTTTAGCTTGAAAAAGACCCCTGAGGTCACTGAATCCAACCTATGACCAAACACCACTATGTCAACTAGACCATGGTACTGTCACATTCAGTCTTTCTTTAAACACTGCCAGGGATGGTGACTCTGTCACCTCCCTGGGCATTCAATGCTTAACAGTCCTTTCCATGAAAAAGTTCCTCCTGATGTTCAGCCTGAATCTCCCCTGGCACAGCTTAAGGCTGTGTGCTCTCATCCTGACATTTGTTACCTGGGAGAAGAGGCCAACTCCCCACCTCGCTCCTTTCAGGTAATTGCAGAGAGTAATAAGGCACCACCAGAGCCTCCTTTGCTCCAGGCTAAACAGCCCCAGCTCCCTCAGCCCCTCCTCACCAGACTTGTGCTCCAGACCCTTCACCAGCTTTGTTGCCTTTCTCTGGGAATGCTCCAGAACCCAAATGTCCCTCCTGATCTGAGGGGCTGAGAACTGAACACAGGACTCAAGGTGTGGCCTCGCCAGTGCTGGGTACATGGGGACAATCACTGCCCTGCTCCTGCTGGCCACACCATTGCTGATACAGGATGCCACTGGCCTCCTTGGCCACCTGGGCACATGCTGGCTCATGGTCAGATGCTGTTGCCCAGCACCTCCAGGTCATTTTCCACCAGGCTGGTTTCCAGCCACTCTGCCCAGCCTGTACAGGTAGAACTGTACAGTGTACAGTAATAGTGTGTATGCCAGCAGCCTGTTCTCAGCAACAGCAGCACCAGCTGCCTCTGCTGATGAGCAGACATTTTGAGGACATCATCCTCAAGCCTCTCTTGTGGCCCTAAGGAAGAACCAGCATGTGGAGAACAGCAGTCATGGCTCCTGTTTAGCTGGTTACCCCAGTCACTCTTTCCCAAAAGGTATTTCGTATCATCATCTTTGTCAGCATCTTCTGAGCCAAAACCCTCTTTCAAACCAACAACAGTACAATGATGGTTAAATTCCCTGTCATGTACGGTGGAGAAAACAGAGCCAAAAAAGGACTATTTGAAGTTACATATCTCTGTAACTTCTCATTGTGGCAAAGCCAGAGGGTTCATCACCTGCAGGACCAAGGTAAACAAACAAGTCAATCTCTATAAATTCTTATTTTTGGAACAAGTCTGATGTTATTAATATTTATGTGTGGGAAGATCCAAGGATGTGGCAGAATCCCAATATAAACCAGATTTGCTCATATAATCTCTCAATAAGCCTTCAAACTAGTCTTATGATGAGCATATTGTTTGAAAAACAGATAGGGGATTTACTCAAAGGCATTCCTTCACGTATTTTCCTATGAGGATTCCACATTAGTAATATTAAAAAATAGCCTATTGTCTGGGATAGCAGACATTGGACTTGGTGCTATTTGAGGTTCTTACACACAGAACTAGTGATCCAAAACATCACCTCATGCAGAATGCAAATATCCATATATATGCAGAAAAGCAAATGCAAGGATGCACACTCCCCCAGCGCTGCCCACTCTAATCCCATTCCAGCCTCAGTGGAAAGCCACTGCTAAATTCTATGTGCTTAGTTGCATCAGAGCATACACAAATCTTAAATACCAACAATTATTATCAGCATTGTACTGACTGTGATTTGCCTTTGTTTTGTCTTTCTACCTCAACTTCTTTTCAAACCATCAGCCACTTAAATGTTGGAAGTCTCCATACCACTGAAGCTAACTATTTACCATTATGTTAACTGTAATCTAAAGTTAACACATATGTGTGTGCAAGTTTATAGGTATTTATCTTTTTCTTCTAAGATAATTACTTTTGTTAAGAGACAATTACTTTAAGAGACTATAGTCCAGTTACAATCAATCAACTTTGCTAATCTCTAAAAATATCCAAGGTAACAGTAGTCAGTTTATAGCAGTCCTTTCTCCATGCAGGCAAAATACAAAGGTTCTTAAAATTTTCCATCCAAGTCTCATTACAGTCCAGCTAGGGAGTGGCAACAGGATGAAAGCCAAGGAATTTCCAGAAATGTTGAAGTGCTACTAAGTCACTACTGACGCAGTGCCCTGACTATTTGCTTGATGAAAGATGCAGGGCCATTCTGCCCCTAATTAGCAGATATTATCAATGCATCCCAAAATAAGTAAAAAATTCTTGCCTGCTTATAGCGGGGAAAGAAAAAGGATACTTATTTCCCCATTTAGGAAAAAAATCCAAGATTTTAGCACTCTTTGACCCCAGTCTCTGGAAAAGACTATTTTAGTTACCACATTTTCTAAGTCCCTTCCTCAATTCATTCTTTATTCAGATTATATTTGGTTTACAGTTTAAAAGATTAATGCATCTATTAATATGAAAATATCCTAAAAATATTAGTAGGTGTATAAAATCCAGAGACCAGTCCTCTGGCAGAATGTCTCCCAAAACAGTTTTAATGGAATACACAGGGGTGAAGCCCTAATGAATCCTTAACTTCATTATCCACCACAGAAGTTTAATGGTTTACATGCAGGAAGGTAAGAACGGACATTGTAGATTTCCTTGGGGTGATTTCCTGGATTTCAGAGTGGCAAGCTCACATGCTTCAACATAGTCGTGAGAATTTCTATTTGGTTGCAAAGGCATAATTTATTGCACTACTCTGTCTCCTTCAAAACCCTCAGAAAAATTGGCATGAATCCTGAAGTTATCCCTTAGCTTGTTCTCTTGATCTCCTTGGACTTCTACTGCTATTTTCTGGATTTTAAGACAACACTATTAAAAAGAAAAAACCCCAAACAAATCAATCTATAACTCAGGTGAAGAACACAGGTAGATACTCTGGGTATGTCTTTGTGGCTTTTTCTGCTGTAATAAACAATAAAACAAAAAAGCATATACACAGAAAAGAATAATACAGGACAGGCCTTCACACTGGAAATAATGCAACAGCTCTTCCTGTGGATGTGAAAAATCTATTGTTTACATGCCATGTTCTGAAAAATAATGTTAAAATGGCTAGGCTTGTGGCTGGCTGAATAAAAATAAATGCTGTGAACACGCCACTGTCTCCTTAGTCTAGGTTCCTAGCAGTCAGGGGTGCTACTCCATAAAACGCTTGTGATAAGTGATTATTTCATCTGACAGACAAGTCACTACCTGGCTTCAGATGTAAATCTCAAACCTGCTACAGTATACTAAATTGAAAAAACTAGTTGAAAATACTTTTAAAAGGGGATAGGCTTGGAAACCTTCCTGTCTGCCTCTTTATACCTCTGTGCATGCAGAATCAAAACAAAATCTAAACATTATACTTCATATATGTATAACTGAAGTGTGCATATATAGATATGTTCATATATATCCTATATTCCACTCTTCTGAAGTGCTTATCCTTTTTACAAAATACCTTGCTTGTGAGACACAATGCAAACCTACCCCTATTGAGACCATATACAAACTAATTACTCATCAACAATATCACCAATATCACCCTTCCCTCTTTTCTTGCATTTTCCATATATTTAGTGGATTGTCATTTGAACTGGAAAATTAAAGTTCCTCAGTTTTTTTATCCCTCCTCCAGTCTTCTTTTCTAAGGGGGTTTTCCACTTTGGATACTGTAGTTATTTTCCAACAAATCTAGCTGCCTCATTCCAAATCTAGGAAAAAGCAGATGTCAGGACATTATTTCTTGAATGTGAAGGGATTGTTTAAGTGCTCTCTCCCCTTTGAATGGGAGCTGAAAACCTGACCCATTTAGACAGGGAGAGTTACAATCATACACAAATTAAAAGAAAGATACTTTGTTTTTTCAATTATCTGAATGCTAAGGACCAATCCATAATCCCTAAAATGTTGTAATAAATAACATTGCAGATAAAATTATCTGGATCTAAAAGCATGAAAGAGGGCAGTCAGACATTTCATTGTCAACGTGGAAAAAATAAAGGTTGAATAAACTAGTTTCAGAGCTGTCTTCCAAGCCCTTGGCTCAGGAGCAAGGTTGGAAACAGATTTCTGCCTCTTGCTGCCGGTGGAGATAATTGCTACAGCAGGCTCTGCCTGCTTCAAGTATTTTTATTTTCTTTTTGGTGGAATTAACTTGGTATTCCTTTTCTGAGGAAATTTTAACACAGAAATTTCAACTAGGCACATTGACAATTACTCCCATCCTCTGTTAGAGACAGACTAAATACCAGAGGGTAGAAATTACATACTTGCTGAAGGAAATACTGCAAACAAGCACTTCACCTGCTTCACTAGCACCTGGGGAGCTATTCTAGTGATATTTGCTCCTTCTTGATACAACACCCTTGATGTGATTACTTGGAATTGACAGCTTTCTCTTATTTTGTTAGAAGCTCCCCAAAACACAGGTAGGACATTCTGCAATAACTGTAGCATGATTCAAATCAGTTTTGTAGCTTTATTAGCTGTGCATGGTGCATTGTGTGAGTGTCTTCAGGGTAAATCATCATTATCATGACAGAAATACACAGACAATGAATAATGCAAAGTGTGTTTTCTAGAATTAATATAGAGAAGACCTTCCATGTTAACTTTCCAACAAGAATTCTCATTTCCGGGGAACAAGCATTAAAGACCATGTGCTCAAGAGATTCCTCAGCTCCCATATATCAACTTGCATTAATCTCTGAGCAAGCTGCCTTTACAGCAATACAGTTAACAGAGGTGATGCAGATACCTGCCCAGGGGGACTGCACCATCACACCCAGGTAGCCTAGACCATGGCACCTTCTAGGCATGAAGTTCATGGTACCAACATGCCAAACTTGTTCAGCAAGAACCTCTGTAATTGTTGTTGGTGGCATGTGCTGACAGGGTTGCTGCTGCTGCTCATGCTCTGGCTCTGTTGATTCCTCTTTCTGTGCCAAAGCTGGGGTTGCGGCCTCTGGACCCCAAGAGGTGGGGAGACAAAAGTATAACATATTGTTATATGTCTTAGGGTTCATCCTTCCGGGGCAGGGATTGTGGAAGACTACTCCACTACAAGTCCTACAGAACAATGTTTCCTTAGATGTAGTTACGCCTGACCTTGGATAAGGTATGAAATTTCTCAACACAGCTGTACCAAGAGCCAAGGTTTGTTTTAATCAAGCAGTAACTACCCAGCAGATGCAACAACACAGAGCACCTTGGCATAGAACTTCTGTTCTTGTCACATCTTTGTCTCGAACATCACTGTTGCAATCCTGAGGGCACTCATCTCCCTAGTGTGCTATTGCCAAGGGCAAAGGAAGAAGGTGGGATTTTTTTCCACTTCTCTTCCCTAGGCAGAGCTATGTTTTTCTCAGCCATAGGCCACAGGCTATCTATGAAGTTCTCACAGAACTTCAGGCTGTTAGCTTGGAGGCTTTGAAAGGCAGAGAAAATATCATCAAGCTGAAGACACCCAAGACTAGAGAGAAAGTGTGTAATGCAGTGAGTGGACAAAAATCCCTGCTTGTAGTGCTGCCCCACACACTGAGGCATTGATAACACGTATTAAAGTGTCACCTGAGAGACAGTAATTCTGCATTTTCCTAGAACATCTGGTAACTGTGAACCCAAAATAATTTCTCTTGATTGTCACAGCAAAGAAAAAGTCAGTGAGAGAAGCCAAGTTATTTTGTTGAAATGCTTATTTTACAAAGCCTATGGCTTTGAACAGCTGCTCAGCAAACTATGCAGTGCACACTGGTGTCTTTGGAAGAACAACCGAAGAAAGTTACCAGAGAAGAGGTACCTGCTTGGCTCCTTCCTAAAATGACAACAGACCACCATGAACACCAGATTCCAGGCAGGTGCACATAACTCCTGGGAATGAATTCCAAATTCATAAAATAATAATGGAGCTTGTATCTCAGCTGCTGGTTTTTTGTTTGCCTTCCTTCTCAATCTTGTTCAGAGGATTTAATCAAGTTAATTTTTCTTGGCACTATGTTCTCCATATTTTGAAGCATTAGGGGACAGCATGATTTCTGCTACTACAGGAATATGATTCCACATGAAAAAGAAATATAGCAGGACATAAAATACTATGGATTGCTTTTGGATCACCATAGACATTATTATTAGGCTAATGCAGCCATCCCAGTCAAATTTGGGACAGTCATTTTTTGGGAGAGACTATTTAAAATTTCAGGCAATGGCCATGAAACCAACAATTCTTTTGTGGGAGCTGCCTGATATATTGTCCAGCAGTCAGACATTATGCTGTCACAAATGAAATGCTCCTTCCTTTTCAAGTTTTATCTTCTTGTTTGGCTGTCACAGTGATCCTTCCATGAGTTTTCTTGTCGAGAGCAGAAGGAAAGACTCCTTCTTGGCATCAGGAAAGTAATCAGTCAAGATCATTGTTATGCTGGACGTAAGCCACCTTTTATCTTAAGACATTTATATCTCAGATATAAGAAGATCCAAACACTCACTCCAAGCAACCTCCTGAGCACAGGTGAAGGATGTGTGCTGTTTGACCTCCAGGATACAACTCCACATCTGTCATGCCATCAAAGGAGATAAAAACCACCACAGGACAGGCTGTTATCCTCCAGGTACCTGGTACTGATATAATTTACCAGTGACCACAATATTTAATGTGGTAGCAGCACATTTATGTGAAAGCCATTATTTGTGTACTCCTACTAGGACAGCTAGCAAGCAGAGATTTTCTACTGAAGCTTTGTATGACATATTATGCATGCTCAGTCTAGTACAGAAATTGGTCTCTAAGAGATATGAATATGCTCATAACTAGTTTTTGCATATACTCAGTGAGTCCAGTGAACGGCTGTAAAGATAACTAAGATACTGGAGCACCTGCCATACAAGGAGAGGTTGAGATTTCTGGGACTGCTTAGTCTTGAGAAAAGGTTGAGCCCTAGTGTGTATAAGTACCTAAAAGGAAGGTGTGAAATGCAAACTCAGACTCTTAGTGGTATCCTCTGAAAGGACATGAAATAAAGTACATTGAATTTACACAATTTTCATTTATCTGTTTTTAAACAGAGTGTGAAAAAACACTAGAATAGAGAGGTTGTAGAGTTTCCAACCTTAGAGATACACAAAACTTAATTGAGCACAGGTCCTTTCCACTGATTCTGTGGGAAAATTCCTTGGAGATGTATTTATCTGGCACAGATTTTCAGGTAAAATTCTCCTAGGGCTTTGACAAACATGAACCTGCTGAAAATCCCCAAATCCTACTGCCAGACTTACAGTTTCTAATTTTCTTCAACAGAAGGTGTTCACAAAGACACTAAAAATGAAAAGCTACTTGCTTTCACTAGAGCTGAAGTTTGATACTCATAGTGTTCATATGCAGAACTCACTTTTCCCCTTTGTTCCAGGAGGGAAAAGTATGTTCTGTTAGTATAAAAAGGTGAGGAGGCTGAAGACACAGATACACCACATAGTTATTAGTGATAGAATTTGTGAACACTGCAATGTGTGCACGGATTGCACATTGAGACAATCTCTTTTTTACTTGGTTAACTTTTGTTTCCTGAGGTGTACTGTAAAATGAGTAAAAATTTTGAGGAAGAGAAGCTGAAGATCTGAAAGGAGATTGAAACAAATCTTTTCTTCATCACTCTGAACTCTAGCTCTCATCAATCCATCATAAAGGTAAGGTGATTTTTAACACACTTGTTTTACTCAGTGTTTCTTGCTCATCGGTAGAGTAGTAAAGTAGCTCTATACTTGGCACTTTTATATAAAGTAGCTCTCTGCTAATAAACCTTACTATTTGTATAGTCAAGGGAAATTAGGTAGTTTATAGGCCATCATTGAAAGAAAAAAAGACTCCCCATTAAAAAAGTCACCCTTTTCTCCATTCTGTTCCAATTGCTATATCAATTGCTAGCAGAGAACTGAGAGATGAAGTGGACTTAGCATGTACAGAAGTCATGTACACATAAGCTTCCTTTTTCTTGTTTTGGATTACAAAAAGTCAAGGTAGCTTTCTAAGCATCCATTGTCAAAAAGGACAACACCTCCACAGCATATGCTCAAAACAAATGGACAGTCCTAAGAGTAAAGGGAAAGTAAACCAAGTCTCTGTAGACACAAGGCAGTCTGTCACCCAACTCAGAGAAGCAAAATATCAAATGATATATGATACCATTCAGTTCTGTCAACATCATTCCTTTCTGAAACAATCCCAAGGGAAACCCCTATTATACAACACAACACCCTTGCTTTTAGTAGTTCATTGTCTCTTTTGATGAGACATTGAACAGCCCACCTAGACTGGCAGACCCATGCTTTATAAATACAAATTTATTCTTCTTAGGAGGTGACAATTTAAAATAGTTCTTAAAATACTGTACTTAAAAGATATAAAGACTTCTGTTACAAAGTTGCAGTCATAGTATTAGCTTTTAAAATAAATGAGGCACAAAGTAGATTAGCAGTACAAATGCTTAGTTTACCTTAATTTACATATCCTTCCCTATCCCTGTCCCAACATCCATTGTCATCTGTGGGTTGAGAGAGCATACCTCCAAAAATTAATAAATGTCATTGTTTTTTTCACCAACACAGTGTATATTTTTAATCTCCCAAAATTTCCATTTGTAAGAGTTACAATCTGTTGTTTGAGGAAATTCTTGAATTCCTCAGCTTACCAGGGAATGGTAATGGCACCAGCAGTACAGCTCATCCTCATGGTTCACTGAATGGCAGCAAGAAGTCAGATCCACTACAGGTTTTTCTGGATACCTGCTAAATATATGTGGTTTCTTGGTCTTTTCTTCCCCCCAAAGTTGCCAGTTACTGCTTTGTGATGCAGGATCCCTTTTAAGGTGTTATAAACCAATGCAAATAAGTTCAATTAATGTATTTTCATAATGAGGTGAAAAGAAAACAATTCAAAAACATTATTTCAGATTAAAGCTGTTGATTAAGAGCCAGTTGAAAAGCAACTCTTAAAAATCTTGTTACTATTGAGAAATGAGGCACAAAGTTCACAGCTGTTAGTGAAGCAAACTTTTCCCACCACCACCTTTAACTAACTTCAACACCCACTTTAGAGCTGCTGGTCTCTGAATTTTGTGCTTTTTCACTCCTTCTTTGGTCGACCTTTGAAGGTATTCATCATATCATCGAGTCCAAAGTATTCTAAAAGGAGAACTAGCGCTTTCACTGGTAGGAAGCTGCAAGGTAGGGACATGGAAGAAGACAAAAAGAAACAAAGAGATATCAGAAGAGTTGTGCAGTTTTATCACAGAATTAGTTTAACCTGGCTAATACTGGTAAAGGCAGTATACTATTTAGAATACAGACCCACTGGTCTTCTCAAAATATCCTTTACACTTATTTGGCAACCTGAATTATAGACAGATCAGTATTCCAGCCTGGCTTGCAACAGAGTCAAAAGTGCCCAAATGCTACAGCAACACACCAGATGGATTTACAGTTGAACTTGGTGATCTTTGAGGTCTTTTCCAACCAATAATTCTCTGACTGCAGTTACGGAGAAGCAGGCAGTCTCTACAGCCCCCTGTAAAACTGCACCCCAGTGGAGTCAGCAAGGCACAGTTAGACATTTCTGCCATTGCTCTATGGCCCAAGGGTAGACTGAACCCACAGACACAAACCAACAAAACCTTTCCAAAAATGTGCATAACTTAATGAAAATTCAAACCAGCAAGTAGAAGCTTCTTTTATACTTTAAGCATACCCAAAGAGAAAAGAGAGATGGGAAAAGAAACATAACTTACCTTTTTAGAAAAGGTAAAAGATAAGCGATGCGTGGCATAAGCAAAACTTCTTGGTTCTGCCGAACAGCACTGACTATCCTCTCAGCCACGTACTCCGGATCCAGATTAGCAATCATACGTGGCCACCTGAAAAAGAGAATATTTATTTCTATCATACAAATTGCTTTGGATTCACATTTTCTTCAAAGAAATCTCAATTTTACAGTTATTCAACTAAAAAAAGAAATAAATACCACAAGTCCTATGAACAACAGAATCTTCAGTATGTTAGAGTGAGTTGACATGATTATTTCTCCCCTGTATGACCTCTCATAAGACAAAACCAGAGACCTCATACTAGGACACACCAGACTTGTATTTGGCTCCCAAACTTTGTCATTATACATGCATACTGAGCAAAGCTATACCATCAATTTCAGGAGGAGAATGGGGGTTTAGAAACCAGAGAGGACAAATGGAGCATTTGCCTTCTGCAGAGGAAAGGCCACCAATTACGTTTCACATTTCAGCTTAAATGAATAGTAAAGTACCTAGGCCTTTTGAGTTGCCCAGTCACTGGATAACACCCATCTGAAGTCTTAAAAACAATACAAGCAGAAAAAAGTCTGGCTCATGATTTTCATAAAGGAAATAAGGATTTATAACATGCTAAAAATGCAACTTTCATCAAAACCTCACAAGAGTTTACTTACTTGGATTTAACACCATCAAACATTCCCGTGTTTATGACGTAAGGACACACAATTGTGGTTTTAACACCAGTCTTTCTCAGACTTCTCATCTCTATATCAATTGACTCTGCAAAACCAACTGCTGCAAATTTACTTGCACAGTAATCTGTAAAATAAAACATTAATTGCAGTTAAATATTTAAATTTAAAAATTAAACTTTATTGTCTAATACTAAACCACTTCACATCAGAATAGGAATGGTTTTTAGGGTTAGGTTAAAATTTGCTTTTGATCTGATTCATTCCTCTTCTTTCCTCTCCTAAATCAACTGTTGTTCTAGACTGGCAGACAGACTTTCTCATGACATCTCTGCTACCATTTTCTCACTCTCTACGAACAATGGTAAATGAAATTGTTTTACATACCATTTTTTCTTTAAATCCATGCACTCACTTATTATGCCTCAAACTCACATTTTCAAGAGTCTCTAATGTGGTTTCAACTTGAAACTCTCTTGGAGCTAGATTTCCTTTACTGCTGTGTCACCTTATTTCATATTCTGCCCTCTTTGTATACATATTCCAGAAATGCCTTCTGAGCTCCCTCTAAATCTAAAGTGGCCTCTCTCCTATCAGAAACCTGCAAGTAAATTTTAACAACATTGAGATTCTCAGCTTCCAAAGCTCTACATGGCTTCTAGATCCTTCTGCCTTGGCAGAAAAATCTGTTTCACAGCACTGCTGAGCTTCTGGAAAATGCTTTGTAAAGAAATGATCTGTTTAAAGGCAGCTGGTTTCAAAGTCTGACTACTGGTTTTAACTCTATGGAAAGATCCAAAAATTCAAAATAAGTTAGGTTTTTTCCCCCCCCATAGATATTGGCTGCACAGTTTAAAATCAAATTAATTACTTCAATTAATATTAGCTTTAATCCTCTTCAATACACTACCTGAAGCCTGACTGGTTCCACAGAGTCCTGCACAGCTTGCTATGCTAACCAAGTGTCCGTGGTTGGCGGCAATCATTGCTGGGAGGAAGGCTTTGTAAGTCTGCAAAGTAAATCAAAGCTGCAATGTAACATTTTACTAAGTAAGCTACAATATTTTGAAGGTGTTTGATGGTTTTAGAGAAATTCTCCCAACAGTTTAAATAAGCTTTCCCCCTCCATTATGGAAAGATGTGTGTATGTATGTCCAGCTTGAACTGCATGCTGTTTGAACTCCAACCTTCAACCATTTAAACGGCGAGTTCCTACCCTACCTGTACTACCCAAGACAGATGGTAACTTGATGAAAGCTAAATATATGGCTTAATCTAGTAATGATGTTTCTCTCAAATGAGAATTAAGTGCTCACTGCAAATTTTGTGAAATGGCAAAGATTTCCTTCCGTTAAATTCATTACATCTTTATGATTAAATTTATTTCTAAATAAACTGACACATGATTTAGTATTTTTTATACAAGTCTTTATGACAGAAACACCATATAGGTGACCAGCCTTCACTGAAAGGAAGAAAAAGCACACCAGGTTACTCATTCTGGACAAAAGCTTCACTTATTATCAAGAGGATTATCAGAACATGTATGTTTCTTACTAGAATTATCACAGCCACAGAACAACTAGAACATTTACAGAACAGAAGAACTGAAGTAGAACTGAACATTTCTCGGGGCAGCCACTATTAACGTGGGCCTGCTTCATGTCAGTTAATAATGAGACACCAACTTATGTCTAGCCTCAGAATTTAGCAGATGGTGGACTTCAGTTCTTAAGAGAATTCCTAAATGTGAAGTGCTTCTACCTGCCTACACTAGAGATCCCCAAAGAATCCATTCTTCCACGCTTTTAAAAAAAATTTGACCCACTCCAGAGCAAATAAATACTTTCTTGTCTAATTTCTGACTGAACTTCCAAAGACGTCTATATGTTTTCCTCAATTCTAAAAGGCAAAATACATTGAAAACATGTTAAAAGGATGTCTTAGTATGTATATGCAAAATACAGGTTTTACCCAGAAGTGTGCCATTGTGTTCACTTCCATGGTTTTTTCTACAAGTGAATCTGGAGAATCAAGAAATCTCTTCCCAACTACAATACCAGCATTGTTGATCAAGATGCTGACATCACCAACTTCTTTTTTAACCTAAAACAAAAAGCATCAAGAGAATGTGCAATAAATCCAAACATTCTTCCCAAGTATTATTTATGAAAACTTAACAGAAATATTACACATTTAAATAAGTTGAACTTGTTATGGATCCAAACACCTCAGGTTCTTGCAGTCTCACCTGATGCCTTTTTAAATGTGAGCTCTCAAACAGATTTTCTTCGGATTTGTGGAGCTCAACAGCTCCACACAAGCTTTGCTTTCAGCACCTCTGTTTCTGAGGACAAATGTTCCAGATAAGTCTTCAATGGAGAAAGCTTAACTAATACAACAAGTATTTTTCTACAGTAAACACATCTTAAAACTAAAGAGTAATTCTGGACTAGAATCTGGTACGCTCTACCCCAGAAATTAAGTTGGCTAAGAAATAATACATGTACATTAAACTCAGTAAGAGGAGGTACAGTTTTCATTTTAGCTCCAGACTGAGAGCCTTCATGAACAGACCCATCTGAGAGAACAAGTGTAGGCCAGCTGATTGCAAGATATTATGTCAGCTCTCCAAAGGAGAATGAACATATTTAATATAGAATTTGAGATATAAGTCATTGATCTGAGCTACCTGGGAAAAATGAAATGGGTAACACAGTGAAGAATTAAAGAATAATTTATCACCTATCCTTTATTCTAGTTTAACTTCCTCGTATTCCTTAAAAGCGTTCTAATCTTGTCTATTTTTTTTAACTAAGCTTTAGGAGTTGGGCACTTCTGGAATAGAGACATTAGAAAAAAATTTTAAGCTATAGGTTTTAATAGCCAAAAGGCTGTCCTTTATCTGTTGGTACAGGAAAGAAACAATGACCTGATACATGAAGAGCCTTTTGGTTTTCTTCCTACTGAAGTAACTTTTTCATGCTGTCTCTGTGTGGCTGATGAAGCACATATTAAAGATCCACATACATTTCATTTTGGCTATAGAACTGTTTCATTGGGAGCAAAATTTTCAAACATACCCTGCCCTACCAGCATAAATTTAGTTTGCAAGACCATAGTCTTGCAAAACTCCAAGCCTGCATAAAGCTGAATCACCAGAAGAGGAAACAGGACCTGGAACCATGCTCTCATATTTCTCAAAGATACGAACACTAAAGACCAAAGTCTACTACGCTGCATGAATTAAGCAGTGGCACCAAGCACCACCTGTACTAAAGTGTTTTTGTAACTGGTAAGATTGGATGATTCCACATCATCAGCAGGACATGACATTTCTGAAATAATGGTAGTAAGGTGTTTTCTTCCATGCAGATTAGCATGAGGATTATTAATGAATCTGACAGTTGCTGAACTGCTGACAAAAGGTTTTAAGTGAGGGACCACACACTGGACCCTACTGCAACTTCTTTGTTCCTGCAAGCTCTGTTTGAATCATCCTGAACCCATGTCACACACATCTACACTCAGTTCTCTTTTTCAAGTTTCACCAGCATGGCTCAGCCACTGCTTTTCTCCATGGGCCCAGAGTGCTAGCCCTCAATTCAAGTTCTCAAACCTAAAGGTTAATTTTCATCTGCTTCATTCCAGTATCCTTCACACTACAATATTCCTCCTCCAGCTCTCCCAGTTCAACAGGAAGCACAGCTACAGGCCTATGGAGAGACATGCAACTTCTCTGCAAGGACAGCAGATGTCCAGCTCAGCTGGTCTAACAGCTGCAAGGGGGACCAAAGCTGATCAGCATTACGGGAATACAAAACCAATAGCACCAGCCTCTAATGAGCTGCAATTCATACACAAGCCTCATCAGAAAGCCTATCATAGTCATTTTTGCACAGACAGAAAAAGACAGAAAGCTAGAGCTTGTTAAAGAGCAATAAAACATTACTTCAACCAAAAGATGTTCCTGAAGACAGCTGAACTTTTTATTAAAAAAAAATCATCCCCAAGCAAGACTCACTGTGGAAATCTCTTAGTTCAACAGTTAAGTTTCGCAAATTTTAAGTGAATGAGAACACGTTCTTAGACTTGAAACTGTTTAACAATATTAGCTTTTGGCAACACTGCTAGTCTGCCCAAATTATTTAACCACATGCTATGTTTACAAAGCTCCTCAGAAATGAAAGAAAGAAATATTTAAGACATCAATATACATTTATTAATTTAGATAAAGTAAGTCTGCCAAAATCTCTTCACAGCAATGGAATTATTTGAAAATTGCCTAAGCAGTTAATCCTTTTTACAATGTATGGTCTTGTGGTAAAAGGCTGCCAGAACTTGAAATACTGCTTTAGCGTCAATAAATTGATTTTCCGCACTTCACGATTAAGGACCTGCTTGGTCATTGAATGAATAAATAAGAAGCTACTCAGTTAAAATGAGCTACTGAAAAAAAGAGCCAGCTCTTTTTATTTTTTAAGGAATAGAGATACACAAGTCAACTCTAAAAACAAGAATTCTTGAAATAGATAGGAAGCAATACATTCAGAATGAATTAACTTTAATCTCTTGCTTTGAATCTACCAGAAAACTTATTCATGCATCTTACACCCACGCTTGCACTCATCTTGGAATAAGCCACAAATATACTTTACCTGGTCAGCTACTCTGTAGATATCCTGTCTTTTGCTACAGTCACAGACATAAGAGTGTACTCTTCCTGCTCCTGTTTCCTTGACCAGTCCTACTGTGCATTTGAGCCCTTCTTGATTAATATCCCAGAGGACCACCGTGGCTCCAAGGCTGGCAAACTTCACTGCTAAGAGTCTTCCAATGCCACTTCCCGCTCCTGTTATTAATACAATTTCACCACTAACATTCTTCTTCCGTGCAGGAACAACCAAGAACACCAGTGACTCCAGTAAGTAGTAAACAAGAAGTACAATCACTTTTAATGTTTCCAGGAAGAAGTTCATCTTCAGGCTATTTCTTCAGATATCTGATTAAAAAAACCCCAAAACATTTACCAGATAGGGTAAACCACAGAGAAAACACAAACATCAACATTGCAAAAACATTTTCAGATCCATTCTAAATATTCTCTACCCTGGTTTTGAGTATTGGTTCAAAGAAATATACAGGCATACACCTGCATATGTAATTCATTTGTCCTGTTTCTGTCCCCAGGTTGCTTCTACTTTCCTCTAGGATGCAGCATAAAATTCATTTACCATTCAGCAGCAATAGGAAACACCTGCCCTCATCTGCTTTAGAAATTCCCCATCCCTCATGCCACGGGTTTCATTCTCTGCTCTGACAGAATGTGGACAAAAATCTAAAATACATAAATACATACTACTACTACTAATAAAAATCTGCCCACTGAGCATCTCAAACAGAAATGCATGACAACTACAAATCAAAACTTATGGTTTAATCAAAGAAGTTCAGTGCTCACACACTAGTACTATAAGTCAGGAAAAATTCTCCTTTTAGGACCACAATGTTTTTTGCTTCATAGGCACTCCCGTCACCATGAAATCATATGCAGAACAAGTCACAGTCCCAATTACGCTGAAAAACCATGAGTATAAGGAGCTTCAGAAGACAATATGCCTGTAAATCTCCTAAGCACGCTAGGTAAATACCTGTGTGTCACTACTGACTTTTCAGCTACCTGCAGTACCATTATTGAGGGGAACCTGCCTCTGCAGTTGAACAAAGCTCTTTGGCAATGCACTTCAAAGCTGTTGAGTTTCTTTTCTTCACCTCCCTGCATTAAGCAAATGCCATAGGCATGAATCATACCATCTCAGGTACATGTTTAACCTCACAATCTGTACACATCCCAGTAAAGCCAACACCAAGCAGGCCTTAAATCCTTGGAGCAATGTTATTTCATTTTCCAGCATACAACAGCTGTGCAAGAAATTAATCCTTGCTTAAAACAGGTTTTAATCTTTGACCAACAACATTATGAAGCAATAACATCTTCTTTCTCAGCTAAAGATAAAGCATGCTGGCACCTACACTTCAACCTTTAGCACTTATAGACATTTAGCATCTTTAGCAACCTTTAGACATACCCAGCCTGATTACATCTCCTAGTTAACTTTGCTATCCATGTGTATAGGTAATCATGTTTGACAAGTGCCAGGAGATAAGTAACTCGGGTCTCTGCTACTCTGAGCAAAGTTCATGAAACTGAGCATGCGAACATACACGTGTTACTATGAGCCTCGGGTTTTCTACATGGGAAACTAGGCCAGTCTTGAAAAGAAACAGGCATCTGCTAGAGCAGAGCTAGTTATTTCAGAAAGTTTTCTGGCAGAAACATTGGAACATCTTAAAACTGTTCTGATAACAGAAAAAACATTTGCCACAGACATAGTGGGTAGGAAAACAAGTTCTTTCTGGCAAAGGCAGGGGGTGAGTGCTTCCTGTTGAGTACTTTCTATTCTTCATTCTCATTAAAATGTGACAAAATGTGCACAGAGGCAGTAATTACAGTAAGAAGTGAAACAAATACCAAAACAGCACTGAAACATTTTTCTAGAGCGAATATTAGCATTTCCTGTAACAGGCTCTCTGTACCGATATTACAGTTCTAAGCAAAAATAGAGTTATAAAAGAAAAACGTTATTAAATTTAACGCACATAAAAAAGTGCAAGCTTTTGGAAGCCCAAGTTCTTTGTTGAGTCTAAAACAGAAGAAACAAGTCTTTAAAATAAATTCAGCTTCTGAATTTAACTTGATTGCACTAATTTATGCACTTAATATAAAACCCTCCATTTGCATGAAAGGAGACTGGTATCTCTGGCATAGATAAAGATGTTACAGTTAATCCCTATGGAAAACCAAGTGAGGCAATTGCCTTCAGAGGCAATACACAATTTGAACTCAGTTGAAAATTTATGACAGTAATTTTTTAAGTAAGAATTAAGCTTATATAGGTCAGAGGCACATTACATCTTTCAGAAAAGTATGCCTATCACTTAACAAAGCAGAGTTGTTTATGCATGCAGACCACAGAAGACTTCCTATTAGAAGATCAACTCTGCATCCTTCAACAAGATGCTTAATTTCCACGGACACATCTCTCCCCTAACCCAAATTTGACTAGGCCTCCAATCTCACTCAGTGCATCAGTATTGCTAATTAAACCAGCTACTGTAACCAAGCATATCCATACAGACAATTAAATTGGCCGCTCACCTGGCCAATTTTGGTTTGTCAACTAAAGTGAGCAGGGATGTATTTACAAGTTAATTAACCAAGGGGGCCTTTGGCACATATCTCAAATCACTTCTGATGCCTTGTATTGTTTTTTTTAGTATGCCTATATCCACAGAGACATAAGTGTGGAGGGCTTTTATGCAGTAGAGAAATATCTGATGCTCTACAACATTTTATTGTGGTTGCAGGCCCCTAGCTGGGTAATAGTTAGCATTGATTCCATGATACTCAGAAGGCTGATCAATCTCTTTATTATATATTTAATTATTAAGAAACCCGTTGCTTTTATAGACAGTTACGATACACCTGTGCCTAACTGGTGCACCAATCCAAACACCATCACCATTGGCTAATTAAGAAACCACCCTTTGTTAAACAAATCTCCACAACACATTCCACATGTTCACAATAACAGGCACAGCAAGTGAAGGTAAGTGTTGTTTCTCATTCTTTGATCTTCTCACAGACTTTCCCCCAGGACAATGCCTGGGAAAGTGGTTTCTTTCTGTGGCCAGAGAGCAGCTGCCACATTTTATCAGACAGATTTCGAGTGTAGATAATTTGGCCAGCAAAGGCTTGTTGGTACATGCCAACACTCACCACCGACAGGCTCTCGCAGACCTGAGAGAGTCTTAAAGACCATCACTGCTCCCCAATCACAGGGCCAGGACTGAGGCTGGCAGCTGAACGCACACCACCCTTGCTAGTGGGAGGACTAAAGGTTGATCATGCAATCACCTGAGCCGCATTTGGCAAGGATGCATTTTTCTCACTGTACCGGGAGAGCTGCGATCCCACGGAAGTACAGCAGTCCTGTAGCTGAGGCTGCCCAAGCGCAGCAGTAAATTCCTCAGCCCCCGGGGGACGCTGGATAACCTTACTGTGGCTGGGCACAGCGCGCCTACCAAGCCAAGCAGCACCATAAGAAAGCCCACAAGCAGCAGCGCCCAGCTCACCGCCCTCAGGCCGCCTGCCCAGGACGCACC